CTAACTAAGCCAATCTAATTGCCTAATAACATACTACATGGAAACTATATACTAACATACAAAGGATACACACTAGAGTATATGGAATAGTAAGAAAACTCGCCTCGACAATTACTTAGATGATTAACATTTATCCTTCTAACGATTCAATTGTTAAGTGATGCATCTATTAAGTATTAACATATAATATTACAACTTATTAATATCTATGGCAATCTGGTAGAAGTTAGATCATTCACTAATTCCAAATATATTCTCATGGCTATCAAATAAGGATCAGCCAGGCAGGACAATTAGGAGACAATATCTTTTCGGCATATAGCTTTTCTAAAATCCAACAACCAATCCAACGGGACCATTCTAGACACCTCTCCTATAAGTAGACTAATTAGAGCATTTAACTGAAATTAATGACTTATCTGATACTTATAGGTTCCTAATAACGGCTATAAACATAATTATAAGTTAACCTAAAATCCTAGTAAGCACAACTTAACTTATAGCGATTTCTAACAAAAATTGAGAAAGTTGCAGGTAAAACCTCGATGTCAAGCACTTATTTCTGCATGGCTCTCTGTTTCCCCAGAGCATTGCGAAATGTATTCTAATACTCAAAAATATCGTACTCAAGGGGTGAGAGGTCTCCAGAGAGTTTTGAAGTGAAAATGGGGTAGGAAATTAGTAAAATCGGACATACCTATTTATACTAGGGGAGGCGCATCACGACCTGTGGTATGTACGGTAGGTGGCGCTCGATGATGCCATGTGTCACGATTCTACAGGTGTTGCGTTGCCAATGTCGGGTAAAATCTTGAATCTTCAAAACTCATATTTTTCACATGCGAGACTCATTTTCGACGTTCTTTATATCTACACTATCGACGAGTACTACAACTTTCATTTAGACTCTATCAGCCAGTTCTCATCCTATTTTAAATTTAACAATTTATGAAGATTATACTATAAATAATTGTGTGAAATTCATAACTCCTTCATACGGACTCCGTTGTTGACTGTGTTTATATCAACGAATTGGCATTCACGAGATCTTCAACTCTCGTTTAGATTGTTTTGGCTAACAATCAACCTATCTTAATTTCGATTTCAATGACGCGTATTGCCGTACCGAAACTTCGTAATACGGAGTCAGGTTTGGACGTTCTATATATGCATGCTCTCTCTTTTACGACTACTACAAATTTTGTTTGGATTACTTAAGATAATAAACAACCTATCTCCAATTTACTTTTTATGACACACTTTGTTGTATAGGGTTGAACGCAAAACTTCGAACAGTCATAACTTCTTCATACGAAGTCAGATTTAAGCGTTCTAATATCTACGGTTTTTGTATTGATGTTTTCTACATGTTTATGGTGCTTACTTTGGATAAAAAGTAATATATTTCTTCTTCGGATTTTATAAACAAAGGTTTATATTAAATCCTACTGAAGAGTGAAAACGAGGTGTTACACATTTTCATGTCAGTAAAACAAAACATGACATCATGTCATGTCGTATTGATGTTATATAAAAATTGTAATTTCATGTCGTATTTTGTGTTATATAAAACTTGTAGTGTCGTGTGATGTACTTGTGTTTACTAAAAACACGACATGAGTGCCTAATTTACTACCCCTACGATAATATTCTAAGGGAAATAATTTTGAGGACTTCGGAAGCTAGAAGGGTATGAGGGTGTATTGTTAGGTCCATACGCTAGTGTTGGTCTACAAAATGTATCTGAACTATAGTTAGCAATATATAGTCTTTCCATGTTGGAATTAGGCTCCATGAAGGTTTGATAATTAGCCTTAACTATGGACGAGGTATATCATGAGGTACAAAAGAGTTACCATGGTGTATGGTTTTTGCAGATGATATTGGTTTGGCTGTGAAGACTAGGAATGAAATCAATGCTAGGTTGGATACCTAAAAGGCATCGTTGGAAGAAAAAAGGCTTAGGATCAACACATGTAAAACTGATAATATATGGTGCAATATTAGTGGGGAGGAAAATAACGAAGGGGCTGGATTGTGTATCGATGAGAAAGTCCTACAACAGAAGAAAAAAAAAAAAAAAAAAGGTTCAAATGCCTGTCTTCATAAGGTTTATGATCTATAATGATGGAGATGTTGAGGATGATATCACTTTATGTATAAAATGTGATGGATAAAGTGGAGAGTAATTATTCAACTTTGTGTGAGAGAAAGGTCCAAATGAAACATAAGGGAAAGTCCTATAGGGTGACTGTAAGATTGGCTATGTTGTATAAATATGAATGATGCCCGACTAAGAAAATCATAAAAGGAAAATGGAGGTCACGGAAATAAGGATGTTATGGTGAATTTGAGATAGAGCCATGTTGGTGTAACACCCCATCTAACATGTATTACAGTATTGTTCGTTTTGGCTCCCGACGCAAAAACTTCCTAGTCGGCCATCCATCATGAAATTGTTTTCGCTCGAGCACGCTTAGTCATATAGTTCTTATGGGATATGTCGCCCGCGCGACTTTAAAACAAATTTTTACAGGGGGAGGTATCCACACTCCTTAAAGGGAATGCTTAATTCTCTTTCTCAACAAATATGGGATTAGCTGTATGTAGCCACCTACCTTCATTCCCTTTTACATGATCTGACGTCCATGTCGAAAACATTGACCCGTGCCCTAGCTCTGATATCAAAGGTATGCCAGGAGCCGATGTGTTCGATTGGGATGTCGAACCCTATAAAGGTGGTGAATTTTGTTGGCTACCTTCACGTGATCCTACATTGGTTGGGAAAGAGAATAAACATTCCATATAAGGGATATGGACATTTTCACTGCTACAACATGTTTTAAAGTTATGAGGGCAACAAATCTCATAAGAACTATGTAGTTAAGTGTGCTCGGGAGTAACTCCAGGATGGGCGACCCAAGGGAAGTTTTCGTGGCGGCAACCCAAAACGGACAATATTGTAATAAATACGAGAGGAGGGTGTTATATTAGATCGGTCTCCAAACTCGACAATCAAAAACTCATTAGCAGTAGTGATAATCAACAAGAAATTAAGGGAATGACGATTTGTTTGGATGTGTCCGTAGGAGACAGCCTACAACTGTGCTTATTGTACACAAAATTCATTTATAATATATGCATATATAAAAAAAAATTATGTATTCACACAAACTGGTTCGATTCGATTCGATTCTGTCTTTTTTGGTTTCTCTTGTTCCAAAAACCGGATCCAAACCAATAATTTTGGTTTATGGGAAAAAAACAAACAAACCTCCGGTGTCTTTTTTTTTTTTTTTTTTTTTTTTTTTTTTTTTTTTTTGTAATTCTATTTTTAATATCGTTTTATGATTTGATTGTTTTATGGCTCTAAAATTTAACATTCAATGACAAACTAAAAAATAATGATTTTCAAAATATTTACAAACTTGTTTTGTAGCCGTTAAAATTTGTTAATCGACGTAATAATATCTATTATAATAAATAAAGATCAATTTTGCAACATGTCAATCTCTAATAAGTTTTGATACTTATCATTTTATGATATTTTTAAAATAAAATAAAATTCACATGTCAATTTCTAGATTTTTTTAATTTTTAAAATTAAAGTCACATCTATTATAATAAAAAAAAAAAGATAAATTTGTCAAATATCAATATCTAATGAGTTTTGATACTTATTATTTTTGTCATATTTTTTTAATAAATAATTACCACATATCAATTTATGGTTTTTTTTTTCAATTCTTAAAACTAAAAAGCCACATAATATTTATACTTATATATGTAAAATATCAAATGTAATAAATATTATACTAAGTTGCAGTTAATATGTTTCTTCAATACTTATTTCAAAATTTTATTTAAAAAAATACTTATTATATATATATATATATATATATATATATATATATATATATATATATATATTTTAATCAACCTATATAATATACGATTTTACACCTAATAATACTTATATGTATATATATAAAGTATTAAATGTAATAATAAATTGTAATTAATATATTTCTCCTTCTTTATTTCAAAATTTTATTTTAAAATTATCTATTGTTTTCATTTTGATTTTACACCAACAAGAGATCAATCGAAAAGATAGTCTGTCATCATCGAAAGTCAGACAAATGTTCTTGCATATTTGCCTTCCACGACTCTACAATCAAATATGAATATATGATGCCCTAGATATTCCACGTAAGCATGTTTCTTGCGGTTTTTATTGGCCCACGTAGTTGCAAAGTAGCCAGTTTCTTGACGTTCCATTTCCATAAAATATTTTGTCCACCTTTTACCTCTGCAACCTTCTACACTCCGAACCGACAATATTGATCCTTGAGGATCTTAAATACACAAATTTATTCCTTTGACAACCCAACCAAAAGTTTATTAATATACATATGGCGAAATCGATGTCGTAACAAATTAAATTAGTTTTAAATTCTGTTCAACAATATATTTCCTTGAAATAAACAAATATTTTTTTTTTGTTATATATTGTTTTTAAACAAGATAATAATTACAAAAAATATATTTTCTTATTGTGTTCATCTAATTGATTATGGACTTTCAAAATAAGATCCCTCATTAATCGTAACATATTTATTTGATCAATCAATCTAACAACAATGTTTTCCATAAGCAAAAGAAAAAATAAGGAAAATAAAAAGTTTCATGAAATTAATTTATTTTTGATATTAACCATTGGTGGAAGGGAAGACGACAAGCATGGGTTTCTTGATGAACACGTGAATACATCACCAACCCTTCATCCTCGTGAAAGGCACGTGCCAAACATCTTCTTGACAGCCGTCGATCTTCCCCAATGAAACCTATCAGACGGACAATACAACCCAAAACCATCTATCTCTCTACAGGTCGCACCAATCACCATTACCAAATACCAATTACCAATTTTTCTTTCACTATAAACTAATTGGTCGTCGGAGAATGGTTGCGCCTCCATCTTAGTTTCCCCTTCCTCCGCCTTTTTCTCTGAGACTGTGATGCTTGCCGGTGTCATTTCTTCACGTCCGAAATCTTGGCTTGTTGGTTCACCACTCGCTCACTACGCCTTGGCGGCTCGTCACCGTCACATCCCCTCTGATGCCAGTTTTCCGATCAAACTTCTACTGTCTGCGACGGATTGTCTCGACCGTCGCCGATTTCCGTATCATTCTACAGCTACAGGATTGAATGTCTCTGCATCTGCCATATCCGCATCCGCATGGCATGCTATCATTCCGGCCGGAAATGGTCGGGGAAAACACAACCTCAGACCGGCCGGCGAGGGCTCATGGAACGTTGCTTGGGATGTCCGTCCTGCGCGATGGCTTCACCGTCCTTATACGGCTTGGCTTCTTTTCGGCATCTGCGCTTGCCTTGCGGCGCCGCCCCTAGAGTTTAATGAAACCTCTTCGGAGCCCGTCATCGCCGATGACATCAAAATCAATGGGAATTGTATCACCACTACTTCTGAAAACTCAATGAACTATAGAATAACAGGTTTGAGATTTATTAAAAATGATTCTTATACTTTTTCATAGATTATGAGGTTTTTAAATGGATATAAGTTTCTCTACAGAAATATTGACTGAAACCTATGTTATTACTCCACAATTCACAACAATTGCATGTAGCAGTTTTAGTTAAATTCTTCATCGTTCTGGTTCAACCTTTTGGGTTGAAGGCCACTAATGTTTAGGGATCCTGTTTATATTTCAAAACAATTCCTTTCCTCTTTTGTGCCATGTCTGTTCTTTGTTTCTATGTTCAAGCTTGGGCCTTTATCATGTTCAGTATATTAGATTGTTCTTGGACAATTAATGAGACATGAGTAGATTTAAAAGGTTAAAAGTATATCGATTTACAGGCGTTCCAGCAGATGGGAGATGTTTATTTAGAGCAATAGCTCATTTGGTTTGCTTGAGAAATGGCGAAGAGGCTCCTGACGAGAATCGACAGAGAGAACTTGCTGATGAATTAAGAGCTCAAGTAAACTCATTTTAAAGTTCTTGCCTTTTTGATGTTTAAAAAAAATTCATAGTATGACTGACATCTGTTGATTCCAGGTTGTTGATGAGCTCCTGAAAAGACAGAAAGAGATTGAATGGTAAGCTTTTTAACATAACTGTTTCAATTCCCACAAATTGTATCATCTCTCATTATATTACTTATCCTTCTAAGGTTTATTGAGGGAGACTTTGAAGCCTATGTAAAAACAATCGAGAAACCTCATGTATGGGGTGGAGAACCTGAGTTATTGATGGCTTCTCATGTTCTAAAGTAAGTGCTTTCTTGATTATGCTTTATAAATCTTGATCGTATTCAGAAAATGGTGTGTGAATTTTTCTTTTTTGTTTGTTGTTATGGATGAAACAGGACCAAAATATCTGTGTTCATGTTGGAGAGGAGCACAGGAAATTTGTTAAAGATTGCAACATATGGTAAAGAGTATGAAGAGGAAGAGGAAAAGAAGAGGTCAATCAAAGTTCTGTTTCATGGGTATGGACATTATGATATATTGGAAGACATATGATATAAAAAGTTGTCATATTTAATAACCAAAAGGGGAGCAGATACTGACTAAATCATTTCAAGCAACGAAGACATTCTTCACAGGTTTGAGTTGGTTCTTAGCACAGGGGGCTGAAGCAAAGCTCAAGCAAAAGCAAAAAGCAATATGCTTGTTTGCATTTTTGTGTAGATTCGATTCCTTTCTTTCTTTGTCTGAAGGCTCACAACTTGTTTTTTTTTTTTTTTTTTAAGGTTTGTGTTAGTAATTTTTCGTAATTCATTTCTGCAAGGTAAAACATAAGTAGTGTGACTCTGAGGATAGGGTTAAAAACACAAAAAGAGTTCATGTCTGAAGCACATTTAGAAGTGAATTAGGTTTCTTAATTTATTATGGATTTATCTCAAGTCTATACAAAACCAGTCTGGGAATAAATTGAATATTGTTAAAATATTCTTATTGGTGTTAAAAGGATTTGTTAGTTGTTACTATTTTGAAAATAAAAAAGTTGTAAGCGAAACTGTTTTGTGTTTTCTACTTTTCCTTGGTAAGTGAGCCACAAGTACAAGTGGTGGTAGGTGTTGATCCTTTTGGTCATGGTATATGCTATTGTTAGATACCGTTTTTGAGTTTGTGTTGGTGGAATTATTGCTGTTATTTTTATATTGTTGTGTAACTTGTACATCATCATCTCAAATTGTCAATTTGTTATAACTTACAAGAAAGGGCATGAAGATCAGAAGTACATCATCATCTCAAATTGTCAATTTGTTATAACTTATAAGAAAAGGCATGAAGATAAGAAAATGGAGTGAAGGGGGTTGTGTAAGAAGAGAAGAAATAGAGTTGTGCCAATTTTTATATGGCATTATACAAATCTCTTTTTATAAGAACATCCGGTACAGTGGTCACGAAGTGGGTCGTGGTCTAGGTGGCCACGAACCACGATCGTGCACACCACTCGGTGGTTCGAGGTGGGTCGTGGTCGTGGCCGGTTGCTGTGTGTATCACGAATTGAAACGGACGGATGTTATTGGTTGTGGGATTAATGAAGAATGGGGGGAAGAGGAAACATTTTAGCCGTTGAATGGCTACATTTTTAAACAATTTTTTTTTTTTATAAAAACTTCTATTTTTACCTATAAATACCACATTTTTACACTTAATTTTTACACTATTCTTTTCTTTCTCTATACCAAAAAAAAAAAAAAAAAAAAAAAAAAAAAAAAAAAAACACTTTAGAAATGGCAAACCCGATAACGCCTTTGTGTTAGACACAACCCCTCATAAATTCTCGACCATGGAATCACCTCAATGTGGTTTTATCAATTTACTTCAAACTGGTCCCCCTATCCAACAAACAACTCTTTTCCAACAACAATATCAACATTTTTCGGCCTTCTAACAACAACTTCAACAATATCAAGCTTTCCAACAATTCAAACGACTCCAACAATAACAATTTCAACCACAACCATCACAACCCCCTCATTCGCCGGATTTTTTTTCCGGAAACTAAAACTTCACCGCCATCTCAACCTAAAAAAAAAGGAAAAAAAGACGGTCCGATCCAACACCACCCAAGAAAGGGTCCCATGGACAAAAGACGAAAAAGAAAAGCTCGTCGAGGCATGGATTTCGGCTTCCCAAGACCCGATTGAAGGCGATAGTCAAACGTTCGATTATTTTTGAGAGAAAGTTTGTATGGTGTTTTATGAGTTAACGAGAAGTGAAGGTATGGATTTGGAGCTATTTCTTGCGATGAAGAAGTCCGTTCGAGTCCGACGTAGGAATAGAGGATAGTTTTTTTAGTTAAACTTGGTAATTTTAGCTTTTTTAGTTCTAATGTTATTTTTTTTTATTTTGATTAATGTAATTTTTATTTCTAATGTTATTTTTTTATTTTAATTCATGAAATTTGACATTTTAAATTAATGAAAACTAGTATTTTAAAAAAATTATATGATTTTTATGTATTTTTTATTTAAATTTAATTAAAAAAAAAAAGGTGGAGTGATGTGTTTAGTGGTAGGTATCTCATGGTTAGTGGTAGGGAGTGTCGTAATGATGTGACATCCACCACTATAGTAGTTAGTGGTGGGTATAAGGTTATCATGTATACTCTCCACGCCAAGGGTCGTTGAGAGCTTTCAAGTCATCCACCACAGACCACCACGAACCACCGGTGTACTCCCCATTACTGGAAAGAAAAAAGAGAGAAAAGAAAGAAAGAAGAGAGAGAGAAGAGGAAGTTTGGAGAGAAGAAGACGACATTGGTCGTTTACAAGTGTGATGCCTACCACGAAACACCTCCACCACGAACGGTCGGACCGGTATGCACGATTATTTTTCGTTGCCACCTCAACCATATATTTGTTCGTGGAGAGTATACCGGTAGGCCTAACAGAAGGCTTGAGATTAGAATTCATAGAAAATGGTGCCATTATAGTTGTAGAATTTGTGAAGGTAGAGAATTGAACTAATTCAGGTGTTTGGTATCGGATAGGTAAATGAATATACTATTATGACGGAATGTATTAAAAATCTTATTTGCTACAAGAAATGGAATGGAGCATTGTCTAAATGGTATATTTTTATAATTATAAATTATTTTTATTCATATGGCTTTCAATAATATTAATCTTTTAAAAATTTTAAAACTTCAATTTATATATATATATATATATATATATATATATATATATATATATATATATAATATATATATATATATATATATATATATATATATTCTATTAATAATAATATTTCAAGATTTCATTGCATCTTATTATTATTATTATTATTATTATTATTATTATTATTATTATTATTATTATTAATCTTTTTAAACTACATGGAAAACATGTAATATGTATTTTGAACCAAAAAAATTATGTTATAAATCTTTTCAAACTACATGTTAAACATGTAACATGTATTTTGAACCAAAAAAATTATTTTTATATGCAATTTATTTAACTATGCATCCTTTTCTAATTAAAGCTTATCATTCTAAAATAATATTTATTTATTTTCTTCATATCACTCTTTAATTTATGCCAACCAAACAATGAAATGTAATGATCTATTTTATTATGTTGTCCACTTGTCCATACAATTCCTTGATCATTATATTCCATCATACCAAATATACTTATATTTTATTTCATATTAACTCATTTAGATGTTTTTTTAATAATTTCATTAGTTTTATATAAAAAAAAAAATTATGAATCAAACGCACATTAAAACTTCACCATATCAATGTTATTTACATCAAATTCAACCAAAATGACTTTTCTCATTCTTTTATTCCCCTTCCAATCCATTAAGTCCTACTATACATTATGCAATGCAGCAATGGTGATGGTCTTTTATGATGCTTGTAAAGTCGACGACTAATTAATTATTGGTATAGGTTTTAAATGTCTCCATAAGTTGGCATTTAACAAGTTGTATATTATTTTGTGAGAATTTTATAGCATTAAAACACATGAAAAATGGATATTCGAATTTGTTTAATTTTTGTTCACATGACATAATTTTGTACGTGCATATAAGATAGATGCACCAATAGAAAATAGTTTGAAAAATCAAAACGATACATATTTTCTGGATCTGCTTCTTTTATTATTATGTGAAAACAACTTAGCAACCACAATGTAAGTGCTTGTGCACATGTATACTGAAAGAATGACTTAATTAATTCCTTGTAACAAAATTTTAACAACAAAACAAATAGGCAACAACATTAACATGTTTGTTTGTATCTTCGTAAATTGAAACTCTGATATTTTTTCCTATACTTTTCAAGAATTGGGGACAAAAACGCCAATGTAGCCAAATCCAACGATGAAGAAAGCCATAGCTTGTAGGAAGAGGTATATGAAGTAATGGTTCTTCCCAAAAGACAAATCATAGCACCCACACAAGAAGAGGTAGACCCCCACAAATATCTCCAGCACATATACACTGTAAAGATTATATCAAATCAATATATAGAAAGAAAAAAAAAATTAAAAATCATAGTCAAAACTATCTATTTATGTGTTGCAAGAATTTACAATTTACCTCTCTCCAATTTGTAGTCGAGGTTTTTTTGTAGATTTGGAACCCGGTTTGGCTTTTAAAGCTTCTCCAAGTTTCTTAGTAACCACCCATTCATTAACCCTTGTTCCAGCCTCAAAAAGACCAATGAATGTTCCTTTAGTCCGATGCAAAGACATGACATTCTCAAAAAGAATCCAGAAAACTAACAAATGAAAAGATCGTGGAGTTCCAACTGCATTAAGTAAAGAGACAATCGAAGGAATATAAATGGCACCCCATTTAGGAACTTGCACTTCTGGCACAAACACCGTTGCAGGCAATACCACACAATAGAAGATAAACGTGACAAGATGTGCAACGATTTTTCTAACAAAGAAGAAACTATATATCACGTAAAACTTCTTCCACACTGTCACTTTCTGCATCATGATTCATGAATGAAGTTAATGAGCATATATATGATTTGTTAGAACTTAGAAATCTTGAAGATGGAATAATAGTGTCATGAATATAAACCTTGTTTCTTGCGATTTCTATGATCATTTTCTTGAAGAGGTTAGCCGGTCCACAAGACCATCGATGTTGTTGATAGCGGTATGCTTTGAAAGTACTTGGTAATTCATTTTTCACCTTACAAGTAACATATAAAGTTGTTACATTCACATATAAATTAAATCTCGTAAAAATATGTACATATCAATAGTGGTAGATAAGATCTAATTAAAAATAATTTTAGTTAAAGCCAAGTTTTTATTTATACCTTGAGGTCACCAACATAGACAAATTTCCATCCTTTAAGACTCACGCGGACAGCTAGATCCATGTCTTCTACAGTCGTCCTGTCTTTCCATCCACCAGCCTCATTAAGAGCTGAAATCCTCCAAACACCCGCGGTTCCTACATTCAACAACATAAATTATGAATCTCAAACCACATTTGATGTTAATTCTTCCACATTTAATAAAGATTTTTGATTATGTGGGTCTCAAATCTTTACCATTGAACCCGAAAAACGCATGTGTCGCGGATCCTGCCTCTTGTTCCACAATAAAATGATAATCTAATGACATTTCTTGCATTCTTGTCATCAAACACTCATCCGAGTTCACTGCACTCGATAAAACAGATCTATCAATCTTTTATTTTTTGAAATAGTTAATTAAACTAGGTTGTTATTTTATGTAAAAACGCGCGAATACCGAATTTCCAACGAGCTTGAACGAGTGCAAGTTCAGGGTTGTGTGCGAGGAAAGGGATTGTGCGCCAAAGGAAGTCAGGGTCTGGCTGGAAATCAGCATCAAAAATGGCCACAAACTCACATTGGTTCACGTAGG